ATTATAATGTAACAGTACTCTCGTGTAACAGTAAAGCTTTAATAATAATCATCATCATAATTTATCGTCGAAAGGCCAGATATGCGACACCGTGAAGTAGCTTCGTTATTCGCGCATATAAATAACCGCGTAATGATATTTCTGCGGACGCGAATAGACGCGTACTCACGCGCGGAAAAATAAAGGCTGAGACACAATGAAAGGAATAAAAGAAACGAGGAATTAAATACAGGGAATTGGAAGCAAATTAACTCGACGTATGGACAACCACGCTTCGATCTATAATAAAAATTCCTATTCCTATTCATTGTATTTTATTTTAAACTATAGCTTATTCCTAATTCCTTTAATTTAATTCCTCGTTGCTCATCCCTTTCATTGTGTCGGAGCCCTGAATCATCATCGCGTGCAAAAGGGCGCGTTCCGATGCGCCGTCTTCCGCGCGTTACGTATGCAGATGGGATTTTGTGAAAAATCCAGCGGTAACTCCTGGCAGTTTTACGTTTTTCCAAGGGCTCATGATTCTTTACTGCCGCCCTTAATACACCCGTGTCGGTTGATTAAGTTGCTCCTCGTTTCTCGTCGGCGGGTTTTACCTACCGGCTAGGCGGAACGTCATTATTTTTCGCAACTTCGTTTACTTCGGCAATCCTGGAGTCTACATTTCGTTCTGCTTTACTCGGCTCGTCGCGATGTAAAAAAGTACTGTCGGACGTCGTCGAGAAAGAGAGAGAGAGAGAGAGAGAGAGAGAGAGAGAAAGCGAGCGCGAAATATCTATCACGATATATCGCGCACTGATCGTTTACGTTAATAATAGCTCAACGACCGACACGGCGGCTTAACACCGGTTGATCGCGGAGCGATATCCCCTATCTCCATTATCGAAAATTAACGTAGCACGTAAGTTCGCGCCGGCACGTTCGTCGATGGATGGAACGAGATATTTTTGCTCCGGTAATTACGGATTTATTCATCAATTCGTTGATTACTTTGCAGTGCTTAAGCCGGCCGGAGTAATATTATTTGCAGTATAAGCCGGCGTACACCGCATGAGTTACAGTGCCTTTCGCCACGGTAATAATAACTTGCGTGTGTGTGTGTGCTCGCGTATATTACACTCTCATCAAAATTATATGAAACAACGTATTATTTATATTACTAGGTCAAATCTCGCGAGTGCGTTACGAGAGATCGTGGAAAATCATCGCGTTCACGGCAAACGCGTTGTTCACATCGTCATGCAGCTTTTTAATAATTCAACTTGAATAAGAACGATACGCGCCGGCCGACGTAGGTATTCATTAATGTTATAAAAATTTCACGGCGACGCGCGGAAGTAGCCCGCCGAAAATTCATTTTACGCAAACGCCTTTTCGAGCTGTGCACGAAATCTCTCCGTTTTGAAAGAATTCCCGAAAAGAGAGAGAGAGAGAGAGAGAGAGAGAGAGAAAGAGAGATGTGTAAGTTGACGCATTATAAAAAATATAACGGTTTAACAGATTATTAATGACACAAGACCGAATGCGCGTCCGCGTTACACGGTTGCATGACCGGGCGCGCATCCTCGCACTTGAAACGTTTCGTGTCGCTATTCTGTCCAGGATCGCCGGTGTAGTGTACGTAAAAGCGGAAATGTGCATCCTGAACGGTCACGGCCAATTGACGTGGTCGGGCGCACGGTCCATTAACTCGAAATGAAATTGCGTCAGAAGTGGCGACCTGGCGTTTTTCATCGCGGCAAACCGCGGGCTCTTCACGGACAGATGCGGCGTCGTCGGAATAAATTAATTAATCGCCCCGCAATAACAAGGCTTTTTCGATATAGCGTATAAAATTATTCGCGCATCAAGAATTTGCGAGAGATATTTCTACGCGCGTCTGCTGTCCCGTCGAACATTTAACGGATTTAAACATCGCGTATGATATGAATTACGATAAACTTTTCCGGCAAAATTCCGCGCCACTCGTGGCACACAGTGAGCATAGAGAAAAATAAATTTCTCGTAGAGTCTTAAACTGAGTGAAGAAGAATCTAAAGAACGAAAAATATTTATTGGTGGATATTAATAACATGTGTACTTATATATATCAACATATTTTTACGGTGAAAAAAATTTTCATCAAATAGTTCCACGGCGATTCGGTGTCTGCAGAGACGTTCGCGTAAGATAAGAAATCGCACGATGAGTGCACAACGAATCGTTTCGGCACGGTAGAAGCTCGTCGAGAGACGAGCGCACGTTTGCGCGTTTCCGAGGCGTTATCGCGCAGGAGAAGAGCGCGATTCGGCGGTGAATCTGAGCACTCAAGACCGGTCGTTTTGCGGGGGCCCCCATTTTCTTGGGACGACGTTCTCACGCGCGCGCCGCTATACCCTCGATTTTCTTAATCACGGCGGAGCCGCGCGGTTCAGTTACCATTCCGCACACTTGCAGCGTACATATCTGGTCGGCCGCCGGCAATTAGACGGGAGCGCATTCTAGCCATTAGCTCGAAATGAATTCGCATTTAGGAGGGCCGGAGGCCCGATCGGGCAAACCGATCGGCAAATTCGATTTTCTCCGCAGCTCGTCTATGGATTATTAAACTTATCGATCGCAAGAACGGCCAACGAGAGAGGGGCGGGGGGAGGGGGGGAGGTCATCGTGGTCACGGGCCGGGTTATCACGAGGTCGTAACCGCCCTTCGTGTCGAATAACCCCGCTGCCTCGATTCTACCATCCGGCTGGTTGATCGTCCCGATTCCGTTTCTACCCGCGTCGACGTCGCGCGCTCTCACTCTATTTCCTTTTTCCTCCACTCTATTCTGTCTCTCTCTTCCGCTCTTTCCTTTTTTCCCTCCCGCGACGCGGGGTTATTTCACGCGAACGGTGTAAGTTAATTGCTCTCCTTTCTCCTGGAAATAACGGCGGCGTTTAAACGCTCTCCCGATACCTCCTCTCGCCGGGTCACCGTGACCGGATAGTGCGGCGGGCGCAATTGAATTCGAATTTGTCGTCCGGGTACACACCACGTCTCATTAGGCGACCGCATTATACTCCCCCGGGTATCGGCGGAACTGTACTCACCGCTCGTCCCGTCTCGACCCGACCGACTACGACGACGACGACGACGATGAAGCGGTGTATGCACGATGTCTAGTAATGTTGACGGTCTTGTAATTGCGCCGTTATCGATGCTCGATTTGCTCCGCCAGCGAATTCGCCACGGATGCGTGATCCTGGAATTTTTCGCCGGACTCGCCGGAGTGGAGCGCTATTACGAGCGCGCGCGCGCTCCCTCGCAATCTCGCGTTACACCGCGTCGTCTCTCGCGTGGGATTTTTCTCTCGCAATGACGCCTGCGTAGTAATCCGGATTACGACCGGTATAAAACATCATTGATCGGCGAGCGCGGAATAGCGGACGATGTGCGGCGATGTGAGCGGGAGAAGTTGCCGCGCGCAAAGCCCGAGAGGAATTTGAGCGTGTACGAACGATACGTCGATACGCGCATCGACACCGACCGGAACCCACGCGCGATTCTTTTTTTCTTCCGACGACGGGAATACGCTCTCCCGCGCGCGTGCAAAAATCCCGAGCATTGTTCATCGGTATCGTGCGAGCGAGCGTTCGCTCGCTTCCAATCGAGATCAGTTTTTCAATCTCACCGTTCGATGCGCATCGTAATAATCTACCGACAATGGCGCCGCTATCTCGACGCAAAATTAACTCGATTACACGCTATTCCGCGATAAGCGCGCGTGCACGCGTAAACAATGCTGCGATAACGTAAACACATTGTTCAATCCTCCTCCGGCCCCTCTTCCCTCCCAGCTCTTTTTTCATTCCCGTCTCACTTGTGAGTTACGTTTGCCGAAAAATTACATCGCATGCGCGCGCGCGAAAAAAAGATAACAAACGTCGCGGCGTTCGTTAAATAATAAAGCTTCAATCGCTGTCGCATGCTGAATAATAAAAACAGCTTAGCCGGCGGGGGACTATCGCGCGTATTCCGTCCGTCGATCTCTGCGACTTCGAGTCCAATCTCTGCCGTTGCCAATTACTCACAATCGGCTCGCAATAAATAAAAGACTCGCCTCCGAACGATAACTCGCTTTGCTCTTCGCTGCTATCGTGGCCCGATTTTCAATCAATTTGTCAAAATGGAGGTGAAAGCGCTCTTGGGAAGGAGTCCGCCTGAAATCGTACACGGCTACTGCATATTATATCCTCCGTTGCTAATTACGATTTATGGTAATAATATTAATAGCGATATACAATTCTATGTCGAAAAATCTCGTAGAGATAATATAATGTGTTTAATAGTTAGAATATGATAATGTCAAATTTAATGCGACATAGTATATGGAATAATACAATAATAACGCAATGCGTAATGTTGCATGTTGCATTATTTCCAACTACAACTGTCGTCGATATGGCAACAATGACTAAAATTATGCAAACACAACAGCCGCCGGTGGAAAAGTTCCGAGAGTTCAGGAGATATTAATCAGCGCGTCAAACCCTCCGGGCGGTATGCTCGGCTTTATGAAGCAAATGTTTTCTGGGGTCCTTGAGCAATGAGATTCAAGCGTCAAATAAATGATCCGGATAAGGTCTATTGTTTTTATGTTCGACTGTAAGATTGTAGTCAAAAGAAATACACGAAGAAAGAATTAATACTAATTCGAAACTTATATTCTTAGGTATAAGTAAAAATATATAATTTTTTATATGAAGGTAAAAGCCGACACGGGAGAAAATTCTATATAGTTCCGCTGAAAATATCATATTCCGGTTATTCGAGAATAATTTGTACGAATTGAGAGGAAAAAATATCGGACGGAAAGAACGATACTTTTAAAGTAGAGAATTGCGTGCCAGTTTGAGGATAAGATTCCCTCTATTCAATATGTTTTCCTTTCAATTCACAAAGATTATTCTTCTGAATAATAGAGGAGTGGAGATAATATAATCCGTGCGACTCACGTGGTGCCTGTTTTTATGTTTTTCAGAGATCCCAGGCAGATGGAGGAGGCACTGTCCGCTCAGGCCGATAATGTCGGGTCCCGGCTGCAACCTGGTCGGCGAGGGAGCCGGGGCCGGAAATGCGGCGGCCGCCGGCAAATGCGTTTGCGGTCCGTCGGTGCCGTGGTGTCCGGGTGAGCCGCGGCCCTACATGTACATGACGCGGCACGAGTGCAAGCTCAATTTGGAGGCGAAAATTGCTTACGGTAGGACGCATTCATTGCATATGAGCGCGTGATGTATGGGACGCAGCGCGATACGACGCGGCGCGGCACAGCGGCGCGCGATAATGTGCACTAATGGCAAAATTAATTTCACGGCCGATTCGTCAAATGGCGGGGATTATACTGCGTCTATGGCAGGAATCGATCATAATGCGCGTAACGCGCGGGCTATCAATTTTAATTATCCGTGTTCGTCAGACCCGCTGCGGAAACTTGTGTAATCGGTGAAAGTTCGCGCGCACGCGTACAACGGTTTGCTGCGATTCAGTAAGCTTCTGTGAAAATTGAACGGTGATTGAGCCGTTATCGAATAATCGATATCGATTTAAAGAGATAGATGAATGGATGGATGGATGGGTGGTGCTTTTATTATCGTCCTAAGATATTTCTTCTGAGGGCGTTATTTCTGTATAATGAAGTTATTAAGATAGAGGGAGAGAGATAAAGAGAAGGAGAGAAGAATAAAAGTTTGTTATCTCACTAATTAGAAACACAGTTGCGATTTATACAGCATAATTATTCTGTCCCGACGAATATATAGAGTGGCAGCCAACACACTCGGAGAAATTACTTAATAATACTAACTAAATCTTACTAGCTAATTCGAACTTTATTATCATTGTTAAAAGTTATTAGGGATCAAATAAATTTGCTATGAGGTACAAGTTTATTAGTTTATTAGTTGAAATTATTAGCATAAGTAGTTAAGTAGTTTATTTAGCTGTGTTCCTTCTCTCTCTCTCTCTCTCTCTGGTTATACTATATATAAACAGTGCGAAACACATTTATACACATGTACATACGCACATATATATGTCCCAATAGCTAATTCTCTTTCTGAGTACAGAATTACTGTTTATTGCATTACTTATCTATATCAGGCATGCGCATGCCACGCGTTCACGGTAAGAATCGCTGACGTGACAGAGAAAGAAAGCAAGATCGATTTCGCGTAAAAAGGAGCAACGTCGCTGTTTACAAATGGGCCAGGAATAGAGATCGTCCGAATGGTGTCGCGCGCTAATGCCTGCACAGCGCCGCGTACTTGCAATAATAACCGATAAAGTTTTCGAGTCACACGAGTCTCCTTACCTCGTCAAGTGTCCGACCGGTCTGTTGACAAAAATTATTAACTCCTCGTCGCATTAGTACGTACGTTTCAAGCTCAATCGCTCTGATCGGCTTTAAAACTTCGCGAGCGCGACTTCTCGGGTTGCATTGCGCCAACTCATTGGCGCGACGTTAATCACGCGCGATCAATTACGAGCGGCTTCGTTTATTTCGCTTAATTCACTCGTATTAAGTCTTTGTTCGTATCGAGGAGACGAAATATTTTTTTTAAAACGTTGTTTATTGCATCAATCTCTGCAGCTGTATCCGCACTCGCGCGTTGCGAACAGGGGGGAAAAAGTCGGCCGTTCGGAAACCGGTTCGAGGATGAAAGAATAGCGATTTGACAGCCGTCATTCGAGAGCTGGACGGTCTCATCCTGCTCAATATTAACCGCTATATTTTTATCATCGCTCGTTACTCGGAATGCATGTATACCTTTTCGGTTGTCTTCCCTCATCAGCGCGTTAATGTCTGAATAAAAAGAGAAAGAGAGAGAGAGAGAGAAAGGGGCAAGGACGGTGGTGAGGCGAATGAGATACGCGCGGAACAGTGTTGGGTACGCGCACGATGGCGAGGCGTTAATGAAAAGAAAACATAAATACTAGAGAAGAGGCGAAGATAACGACTAAGAAAAACGGGAAAGCCAGACCGAAGGGGATACAGACGGTATACCGGTAATGAGAAAAAGACATAGCCGGAGGCCACGTTCGTGACGCAACGTCGTTCGTACCTTCGTTATCGGCCACGTCGTTTCTGATTAAAATGCACAAAAACAACCGCGTGAGCAAAAAGATTGCGTCACTCGGGTAACTCGGAGTGACTTTTTACGGATTTCTCGGTTATGCGACATGATTCCTGATAAACCCAAGTCGTCAGCGCGCAAATTAATCTGATGTGATCGAATGCCTCGCACGCGACGTCGCGCGCACTGAGACGTTCCCGTGCGCTTCGGACGGGAACGTCTGGACTTGTTTAAGGTAAGGCGCAGTGGTCGGAAGCGACAAGTTTTTTCGACCTGTTTAACTCAAGAATATCACATTTTGATGCACGCAATTCCTGTTTTTTAAGCAAACAGCGTTTTTTGTGATTTAGGATAATTCTGTTCGGATTTTTTCCCGATATTAACTGGTTTTAAAACGTCAATCGTAATTACACAGTGGTTATTGGATACAAATGTGTGTTCTTGACATTCTGTCGTTTAAATTAAAAAGGAAATATGTTCAAACATATCCACTTTTTGAAGAGTTATTGATGATTGAAAGTACTCCATAAATTCGAGTGTTTTTTTTTTACATGTATAAACGTCTAAAAATGACACATTTGACTGAAGCTCTTTTTATATGTTTTATGCCGGTTTCGTTATTTAAAACGTTTAATTGTGTTAAATTATAAGTTAACACTTTCAATCGTGCCAAATAACGTGATTTAAAACGGCGAAAAATGTGTAAGAAAAAACTCAGCTAAAATACAACCGACACACTTAAAAGCAAAATAAAACACTTGGATTTGCAGTGTAGCTGGGTGTAGCATACCCAGTGTGATGAAATCGAGAATTGGCAGGAAATGTGATGTTCTACGGTTAAATTAGAACTCGATTTCACGCGAGAGGGGAAAAAGGAGGAATACCCGTCGTCAAAATTGCGATCCGGAGGAAGAAGGAGAAACGGCGCGTCCGTTTTTGAGGGGGACAGGGGAGCACTTTATCAGTGTGTAACAACGCACGTAGCTCGAACTGACCGTCGGATACGTGCGCCGATCCTCTTCGTCCTTTCCTTCAATATCCGTTCACGTCGAGAGCAACAACTGCGCGTGGGCGACTCCATAACAGTTATGATTAGAGCTCTCTCATTCGGAGTTGCTCAGAATCAATAGTTAACTCGTTCCCTCTTTGGGTGCAACTTTCCAGAAGTCCATCTCGGCATAGTGGGCGGTGTTCAACGTGTAACGAGGTTGTTGGTGAGCGAGTAACAAAAGTAGTTACCCCGGCCGGTGCAGAAAGTTAAATTCGATTCGTTGAGAAAAGTTTAATCGCGTACGTTCTATAAAGGTAGAAGGCAGACGGATTGTTCCTTTGCCGGCGAGTTAAGTACACGAGTAAAATCTCTAAGTCCTAAAGAGGAACAAAGGCACCGGCCGACCAAGTTCGTTCCGGTACACCGTGGCGCACGAATAGCACTCTCTAAATTAGAATCATGAACTGCCGCTCGCGGGATACTCTTTCCCTCGTTGGATTCGAGGAGCGGTTGACTCGGGCTCGAAGTTGACAAATTATTATTCTCTCTTAATTTAATCATTATAATTATCATAAGTATATTTTTTTCTCTTAAGTCGAATCAGTGGAAATTAGCCACTAATTGAATTAGTAAAACGGTATTGCACCCGGTAATCAGTAAGTGTTCGCTACCGATAATCGTGAGAGGACGCCAAGGAAATCTGTTTTGGACGTGATATGGGTGCTGTATCATATCATTGTTTCTTATTTTTCCTGAAAAGTTACATGTTTTATTTAAAAAAAATGACTATTCCTTTTATACAATACGGCTTTGTAAAAAAGTGTAATTTTTTTAAGTAAATAGCGTTTTTTGTGGTTCAGGAAATTTCTGTTCAGGCTTTTTCCATAATTAACTTTTTTTTTAACGTCAATCGTAATTCCAGTGACACAAAAGCGTTCCCGATATTCTGTCGCTTAAGTTAAAAAACAATATATTCAAAAATATCCACTTTATGAAGAGCTATTGATAGTTAAAAGTAGCCGAATATACGTAGTGTAATGAAATTGGAATTCAGTGTTCTACGGTTAACATGTATTTGTGTATTTTTTAATGTTCCCATGTTAAAATAACACAGAAATTTTAGTGGATCGTTATTTTTTACAAAATTTTTTATTGTGTAATAAACAAGAAGTAATAAATAATATCTTCTTTCGCTGCTTCTGTAGGTCGGGTTTCCCTGATGAAAACCATCGCTGTTACTGACAGACATTTTCAGAGGAGTTTTCTGATTTACAGTTTCATATTTATAACTATGTTACCTCCTTCCCCCCCACTAATTATTGAGTATTTCTCAGTGATAATACACTGATTGCACTTTAAAGAGTTCATTAACGACTGTGATTATTCGCGAGTGCCGCGTGGCGCTTTCTCGTGCATTCCCATTGAAATATTTCACGTTGCGATTGTCCGCGACGTGTAGCGGCATTATTCTGCGCGTTCGTGCGTATATTTGTATGTGTGTATATGTGTGGTCACCCGAAATATCGAATGGCTGAAGCTCGTTTAACTCGCCCATTTGTACAAAAATACGCGTTTTATCATGGCCCCCGCGCAACGCGAATGTCGTTATTATTTTCCCGCGATGAATATTTTGGCGGAACTCGCGGATACAGCGCGAGTATCGCCGAGAACGGGCGTCATTCGCGGCGCGGGAAAGTGAATTTGAATTAGGAGACACATTTCGGGCGGATATATCATTTCTCGCGGTGAAATAAACTGACGTTCGTTGAATCGGTCCGCTGACTTTATCGAACCTCATTGAAAGTAATTGTTGCCCCCGGTTAATTGAGTGCAATGCCCGTCACTATTCACTGAACGCAATGAAATAAAAAAAAAAAATTATTGATTTCGTCGTCGACGCGTTACACTTCGGGAGTCGACGCGATGGAGGATATTACGAAATATAACGTGCAATAACCGATACATAGGACGACATTGCACCGATCGGAGCCGCATTGTGCCTCCATTACGTTTATACGTACGGGCGTTTATAAAATACATTTGTACGGCGGCGATTTTTACACGCGAATTTATCCCGCGCGAAAATATAACCAAATTCCATTAGACGGTTAATTCGGGATAATTCAGTTATTGGTTTTCAGCCGCTCGATCTCGAAATTCCTCGAGTGTGCACTTATTTCCTGGAATAAAGAGGATCGTAAAAAAGGAAACGGGAATACGGCGGACTGCCATTTTCACACTGAGAGAGAGAGAGAGAGAGAGACTGCCGATTTTGAAATTTCCTTTTTCACGTGAAGGACACGAGAAAACTAATTTTACCGAACGACTACGTCACGGCTTTATATTTCCGTTTTTGTGAAAATAGAACGCATTCGCGTTTATTAAATATAGCTGCGGTAAATACCGCGTTATTTATCGTTTAATGAACGTCACGATAACAATATCGTGTTTTCGAAAACGTGATCATAACGAGGGGTCAGAGATTTATATCGAGCTAATGTTCCGCGCGAGCATCTTTTATTTGCTCATTAAAACCCGCGGATAACAATGGGTTAATAACGAAGTTGCCCTTTATATATATATATATATATACATACATATACATTGCTTAAATCGCTCGTTGCCGTTGCCGACCTGTCGTTAGCAGAAATTAATTCGTTTAATAACGCGTACGACGCGAATTTACACTCCCGGCGAGAGAAGTTTGGCGCCGAGATCGACTTTGCAACACCTTCAATTTTCAGTTTATGTCGGGCCATTATGCCCGATTCATTTTACGTCGTAGCCTAACAACCTAGTCGTCGTCGCGTTTCTATGGCGAACTTATCCGACACGCTAATTTACGGGATATGAAGCGAATTGCCGGCCGTATTGCGGAAACTAATAAAACTTTGGCGATGTGCTTAGCGCGCGGGCGCTAAATTAAATGCCACAAGGCAAGAATTCGTCCGAATGGGTTTTCACTTTGCGCAGCGTGGCCGTTGGCACCGTTCACAGCATCTTGCGCGATAAAGTTTAAATAATCCTTGAGGAACGGAAAAAAATTCTTATATTGTCGAATACGCGGTGAAACGTCGTAATTATTACTTGTTTTTCGCGATACGGGTCAAAGGTAAAGCGATTCGCTTCGCTGGATTCTGCCGAGAATCTTTCTGTCTGTAAACACCAATGTTACGGCTGAACTCCCGAATGTTTCTCTTTTTTTTCTTTTCCTTTACGATTCACCGGAGCGGATTACTGAAGGAACTTTCGTACTCCGCAGCGTCAGTTTCCAAGATTATAAACGGACTTGTACATTTCCGTATAAAATAAGCGATGATGTTATTAGGAATAGGTAAATAGATAAATAATTACTCCGATACTCCAGAATTTTTACTTGGATCAAGTAATATTTAAATGTATTTCTCAAGTAAATAAATCATTCAAGTAAAATATTTACTTGACTCAAATAAAATTTATTTAAATCAAATGAAAATTTGCTAAGAAGTATTGGAGTAATATTGTTTTCTTGAATCTAGCACTTTTTTTTATGTAATTTATTAATACACCTTAATAAGAAAAGTTTGTTCGGACTCGTTCTCGTCTCTCCTTCGGCGGTAACATGATTGATTGTTCCAGAACTTTCCAAGGGAAACAATACGATCGGTTTATCGCACGCAGCACGAAGATACGAACGACGCGCTTTTACTACTCCGTTTTCGCTTCGTTTTCGGATTCAAAATGTATATTTTCGTCCGTTCGCGTGCGCGCGTCTCACGGCGTAAACGTATCGTACGGAAGCGTTTATGAAACATTCCGGGACATTCCCCGACATCCTTTATATCCGTGGCAATTTCGCAGCTTCGTCTTCGTTCATAGGTACTCCTCTCACGTCCCGGATCCAATCGCTTTTTACTCTCGAAGTACGGCGAAACAACGTAAAGTCATATTGTGTTAGAAGTGCTGACTCGGCAAGGTCCTAAGAAAATACCTTCGGTTCTCCGCTTTACTACATGCAGAATTTCGAAGGCCGCGCGAACGTCCCTTGAAAGAGTAAGGGAGAGACTTTCCAGGGGTGAACGGTCAATTCTGCACGCGCGACCTTTTCCTTACGCGCGCAGAAACGACGTTCGCAACGTGCGGAGCAACATCCGCGAAATAACGATCGAGACGTTTCAGTGATCGATACGAATCGACTCTGGTGAACTTGCGAGAGCAAGTGAATCTCCTCTCGCAAACAGCCAAGTATCCGAACTGTTACGGATGTACTCGTTATCCTTCCTTCCATTCGACAAACCGAATTATCTCTGGGCGAAACGATCCTCTTCTAACAACGAGCCCACCGTTCGTTGTTATAAACCGCCTCTTATATTTTCGACTTACGAAATACGTCAGCGGATTAAAAACAGCCTGCCTCGAAGTACCTATTATTAGACGTACCCCTCTTAGGGACGGGCGAGACCTATAATTTTTCAATCACATTTCGGGTCACCGGAGTTGCGCGATCGTGAGAACACGCTCTCAGCGTCGGTTCAGCCTCAGGTTTCGACATTACTACGCAATTGCGAGAACACGAGGTCGGACGCGATCGAGCAACGATCGTTCTCGTATACGGTCAAGTCCAATCTAAAAATGTCAGATGCCGTGTCGCCATTTGATGATCTAATTATGCGGGATGTGGGTGTGCAGAGTGTAGGATCACGGCTAACCAATCATTCGACCGTCAGACGAGTGTTTTACGGTCTCTCTCTCTCTCTCTCTCTCTCTATCTCTCTCCCTTCCTTTCTCTCTCTCTCTCTCTCTCTCTCTATCTATCTATCTATCTATCTATCTTCCTCCCCAGTGCTCACTTCAGCAGCCGATAACTTAATAATTGGGTCATTACGTGAACGCTTTATTGATCGTTAGATTCAACTTAATCCCCGGCGGAGACCTTCGAAGTGCATCCTACGTAGGATAAATTATCAAGCTATCTTGGAAACAAGGACAGTACCGTTATAATTTTGTTAAAGCCTCTTGTTTATAGATTTACGCCTCATGCGCGCGAGATTACGCAAAATTAACACACAACATAAACGTGTAATCTGCGGCATCGGCGCACGGGCGATGTGAATAACTTATCAGAAACCGGTACAGTCGATGTTAGTTCCAGTGTTCCCTTTATTATTCTGTATTCTGTAATCTTGTAAAGTAACCCGAAATAGCGCTGAACACCAACGCGGACCGAGACCTACATAACTCGAGTCCAGTTGAAGCGAAACTTAAGAGAAAGCAGTTGAAATATAGACACGTTTGCTGAGGAGATTAAAATAGGCTCTAAGAGAGAATTATGCAATACTTTAAATATTCACCAGGTGATGCATATCGGCGATTACAATGAGAAGTAATTCCCTAATTATTTTGAAAATCCAAAAGTCCCAACAGTGAGATCAAGTATATTTAACTCGCAATGTATTGTACGATATTTGATGTTATGTTATTTTTGAGAACGTTTAAATATTTAATTCGCTTTTCGATAGCGATTGTCGCGTCTCTGTACACGATTATTAGATTAAACGTTAAGAACGTTTTGAAAGGGATGTTAACGATTATGAGAGAGACTAATTATAACACAAAGTAAGTGCTAGATGAAACACGACTGAATCATTCTAAAGAATGGAAGGGAATGTTCATGCGAAACCCGAGCTGAAATTTCGATCCTATATTAATCCTGCAAATTCCGTCGAACTTGAAGGATCATTGGGGAATTCGGGATATAACATAACGCTCGGAATATAACACTATACATTGTTAACAAAGTCTATCGCGAAATTCAAATGTCAGCGTAAAACATTTATGTTGAATATAAACTGAAATATTTTACTGCAAATCGAGTTCCCGATTCAAATTTGCGTTAGAGAAACATCAATGCGGAAATTTTTTTTTAAATAAGTTTTTTCGCTGTTACCATTGATATTCACGCTTCGAACATATGGCAGCTGCGATCTGCGGAGCGAAAAATATCAAACGGCAATTTTTTCGTAAAATTATAAACACTGCGACAAAGATCGATTGTATGGTGGGACAAATGCTAACAACAAATATCGCGACAGCCGTCCGAGGAAAAATAATCCGCGCGGATCTGCCCACACTTCCGGATAATTCGATATTTGTCTGGAGCGCGCGCGCGTCGATGTTGTGTAAAATTTACTCGCCATATTAATTGTCCGGCGGCGATCCATTCGGATATTTGTGTAACAAACGTTCGCGGTCGCGCGAAATATTGAACTGCTCACTCCTAAGCAAATTCGTAATGTGTAATGCTGGTCGATGCCGGTAATAGCGATGGTATTTAATAAGCCGTACAAGTTAACAGTGCTGCTGACCGTGTCGCGTTTATCGCCGGTAAATATGCTTGAGAAAGAACGGGAAAGATGCTTCATCTGTGGAATATTCCCAGTATGCTCATTCTGTAACCTTCTAACGATATTAATGCAGTCGTTACGCGCCGTTGCGCAGGTATTACGTAATATATACCTACTTTAATCGCATATTAAAAATAATGTGACATTTGGAAACCGTGGGATACCAGGATGAAATCAATTATTTCTTTGATGGGATTAAAATTGAGGATTTTTTTCTTACTCTATTTACTCTCTACACTGTTTGTCGTCGTATCCCCGCCAGTTCAGCAATCTTTCATGAATTCATCTTTCGATCGATGCCAATTACTCGGCCGGATGTCGCGTGATTTGACATTTTAATCGGGCCAAATTGTATTTACAACGCCGTCCATTACCGGGAACGTGATTACGGACTAAAATTACTTTGTTTATTAGTAGTTCTCGATCGAACGACTCGCTCAGGCATCTCCGATGCGCGAAATAATGGACGCGGCCGGAGAGTGCTATCTAAGTTTAATCTAATGAAGTGTTTCGCAAGTACTCGTTAATTAATTCACGCCCAGTATCCGTCTAACGGGTAAGTACCGCAGTTGATAAACTTCTAACTTCTGTTCCAGATGACCTCTATAATTCCGGAGACACGCCGAGCGGACCCGCCATGGAGGGTGAGTTACTTTCAACCAATTTCCAAAAGTTTTCGCGAAGCTACGGCTTTAATTGAGTGTGTTTAGTATTCATCCGCTATCGTGTTTAAGGGATTAAAGGGAAATTATACGCTTACGTTCATCGCAGCGAACTACGCTGTGACTCTTCCTTTGATACCGTATCGCGTCCTTTAAACAGCGCGCTCCACTCTCGGCATTAACGCGCCCGTGCGAGTGATGGAAGCGTGCTGGTGGGATAGGTCGAAAACTTTCGCCGATAAACAAATATGCCGTGTCATCGCCTGTATCGATCGGCCGAAAGAAAGCAGCGGGACCAAAGCGCTATATCGGGCAACCTTAATTCGCTCGAGATTGCCTCACTTATTTTTCGCGTTTCCTGCATATAACCCGGCTTCTAATTCCTCGATACCGGGACATCCTTGACCGAGCGAAATAGCCCCGCCGCTTTTACGCCCGACGACACGAAGACGGTAGTATACGGATGTTCTCTGTCCATTAGCGTAGTTTCGCATCGATCGGACTTTATTAATATCGTTTTATCCATTTTTCATAAATGCTAATGATTCAGCCCCGCCCGCCGCAGACAAATGCAATTACGCGTGATGAAGGCATTTTACGAAACGGCAAAGTGTAATCTTATTTGACTGACAATTATTTAACATTTACATTACCGCCACCCGTTTTGCGCATTATGCAAAATACCGAAAAATTGCCTCTCTCTTTACGGCCGGCCATCGCCGCCGATAATTTTAGCGTACCTCTATAATTCTCGCGTTTACTTACGCAGGATGATCGCGTGTATGTGGGAGTTTCCGACGAAATGTCCTCTCGCGAATTCCATTTTTCTCTTTTCCCGTCTGAATTAGAGAGAGAGGGAGAGAGAGAGGAAGCCACGAAAGTGCATAAAACATTATTATATGATTAACATACGAGGGTAATTCGATAATTTATATATCCACACACATTCCATTTATAAAATTTATTAATATATTATTATTAATTTGTAGAAAATCTATAAACACTTTATTTCTCAATGAAATCCCCTTGATTTCCAATGCAATTTGGTCACAATGTGTCGCGAGTCTCTTCATTCTTTCGGGGGGAAAAAATGTGCCGACCTACAGAAATTTATAAAGCAAACGCGGATAATTATTGACTCACCCCTCGTGCAACGATTATCATTATTGACTACTACCCTTCCGTAATATCAACGATATCGGTATCATACAATACCGGCGAAATTGAAATTACAGCAAAATGTACGCTCATTAAATGACATTTTAATCGCGAGTAAGAGATTCCCGACGAGATAGGCGACCTGAATTTGCCCGTCCGAATTAGGAAACAATGTCAAGCCGATATCGTTGAGATGGTATCGCGGTTAAACAGAAATTCTTCTCGCCGCGATATCGGCGCGTTGCTGCTAATTATCTCTCTTATCGGCGTCGCGCATCTACCACGTCGGGTGACCTCGCAAGCCAGGTGCAAGCGCGAGGAAGCGAATAACCGCCGCTTCCGTCGACGGTAACAGGCAAGATAGTCACATAAGCGACTCGCCCGTGCAATTGAATTATCTCGCAGAGATCGGGGAAAGGGTTCGCGAGGGTCAAGCAGTCGGCGGTCGAGATCTACGCGATGGGGGAGCGGCTAATTTAATTTGTTAGGCGAGAGCATCCTCCCTCCCTATCTCCTTTCGGCCCTTGCGCTCGTCGCTGCGGAGTAAGAACGAAAGGGCGGCGAAGATAAGAACTTTCCTTTTTAGACGACTAACGGTTAGCCTCTTTCGCGGTGGTAGCGCAGCGGCGTAACAAACTGCGGGAGAAGAGGACGAAGTTCGAGGGCGATGCGTCGGACCGCCGTAACAAAGAGGGATATCCGTGTATATCGTGGCACATTTGCGGCCAAAGTTTTTCACAGGGAATTTCCGGCGCGGCGAGGCGCGTTAAAAAATTACACTTTTGCGTGTGTAGCGTGAAATTGAAGTGGTAGTTTTCGGTTTTTTTTTTACTTTGGGGGCGGAGGTCACACTTGCGTCTCGTTTCCGCGCCCGGCGACTTACCGTTGAAATTACACGCAGTTGGAGCTTTATCGACCGAATTTCCGGGATAAATGGACGACATTGGAGGCGAATTAACTTTGAAAATAACGCCCGCAATCTTAACGTTGGTTAACCGACGAGGTCAACGCTCGTCGACTCGAATCGTGATCGGAAAAGATCGATTCGGTCGCGAAAAATACGCGACGCAACGAGAGTAGTAGAACAATCGGTAAGACGAACAATGTCATCCCCATTCAATCGCCGACCGACGTCGCTCGCAGCTGAGTGGCCGAGTGGTGACAACAATAAACACTCCTGACCTTCGTGGCGGTCAAGCATACTTTCGCGTATCGCGGACTTTCTAAGCATCCCATTGTGTTTCGAGCCGACGAGCGATACGCACGTCAACGCGTTACTTGTCACTCACGTCGATTGATCAAATATTTCGCCGGTTTTTGAAATACGCTGCAAATCCAAGTGTGTTATTTCTTAGCCGAAATTTTCACGCCGAAACGTGGATAACGACATATCATATATTTCCAGGTGAAATCATCTATTACGTACTGAAAGTATCCGATTGTAACAGACGTTTGACGAATGAGAAAAAGGAGATATCCGAATCGAAATTTAAGCCGATATTTATAGTCCATTATGATTTAATAAACTCTATAGCTTTATTAACCTATAATTATTCGTCAATTTCTATCTCTATGTACTTATTTCATATAATTAAAAATGTTGATTGAATGACTCAGGTAACAGTATTTGAATACGAATTTATAATTAATTATGCTCTTATTAAAGACCGTGAATAATTTACAGACCTATGAATATCGGCTTTAGAATCTAAATAATATAAATCTTGCAAGTGCTTATTTGCATTCGTCTAATAATGCTATTTAAGCCGGAAGTTCCATCTTGTCAAGGCTTTTTTTCGTTTGTGTTTAGCCTTATTTATGCACTGAATATAAATTTAAATCTCTGTTGATACACAGCATTATTGGATACATAATTGTACTTTTTACCTTTACACTTTCTTTATTATCATTTCTTTTAAGAGCTTCAATCCATCAAGACTTTCAACATCAAAGAAAAAAGAGGTGAGAATGTGTTGTCGCTTTTACCTTATTCAGACTTTAATCTTTATCAGGTTAATTAATATATTGCTTATCTCACATATTATATCTACAACAGAATAAGTTATATAATTAATTACATTATTGATTAAATTATATATTATTATTATTATCGTAAAATTACATTAAGTTAAATAATTAAATGTAAATTAGTTAAGTTAAATAATTACATGTAAATTAATTGAATCAAATAATTAAATGTAGATTGAACTTTGAGATAATCGAATATTAAATTATTTTAAAATAAATCTTTCTTCAAGACTCAATTCATGAAGAAAACGGCAGTAAGTAAACGTTTGTAGCATTCAAGGTAGGACAACAACTTCCTACAGTGTTATATCTCGAGATTCTCCATTGTTCCTTCAAGTTCGGCGAAATTTGCAGGGTTGATGCAGAACTGAAATTTCGACTCGAATTATCATCCCGATCTTAGAATTAACACTTCCAACTTCTCAAACAGACCAAGTTTACAACGCTGTCGCGCCGAATCGCTCTTCGATTCTCCGATTTGACAGTTATTATTCCCTGTCATTTGCACGAACCGCATATGCTGCACTCGTCGCTTACGACCGGTATTATTTCAAAGATGAGAAGGGACAATTACATTATTCCGCGTAGCTGGGAGCCAAGGGCAATTTAATTTGTCAGCTCGCCCTTTTCGCGAGACAAGTGATAAAAACTTCTACTACGCAGTCACGTCGCGTCGCGGTCGGCGCCGCCGGGCGGCTGTTCCCAACGAGTTTCCATGGAGAGCTTTCGCGAGGGTGGTTGCGAAAGAGTAACAAAGAGTAATCGCGCGTTATATAGCGTGGTAAAAGCTCGTCGGCGCGATCGTACGTCGGTACACAGGCCGACGTTTTCAAGCCGAAGCCAATGAAAATGCATTGCTACGTGCGTCGTTAAATTTAGCGAAACGACCCGTGAGTACGATTCCTCCGGGTAACTTATCTCTCGAACACTCTTTCGATGTTCCTATCAAGGGTCGTTAACGCGTGGAGAAGAAACGAACAATGTCAAATGACAATAAAAACTGCGAGGGTGCGCGGAAAAAAAGACTGGTTATACTTAATAATGGCATTCAGTTAGAGATTTCGATGGGATATTTGATAACTGTTGCGAAATTTGATATTAATTATTAATTATTTAATTGACTCGTGCAGTGTAAACGGCTTTTATACGGAGTTGAATCAACCGGATAAAATAATAATAGTTATTAAATATTGAACATTTGTTCTTAAATGTTTGATGATTATTACTAGATATTTAGTAAATGTTACGAAATCATTCAGTTCCGTTGGATTTTCACATGTAAAGTAAAAAAATGACGACGAACTTTAAAAGGGCAAATTGAATCCGAACAATCGTCCCCTCAAACAGCGATGTGTATAACGCTTTCGTTTTGCTTGATCTTTTCGTTAGAAAATAACGTGGATTCGCGATTATGCGCGTTATTTTATGATCCACTTACGAGGTATATTATTGAAATATGTGGAAAAGTAAAACTTTGAAACACGATCAGAACGCGATGCTTTAGATTGCTTTAATATAATAAAAGTACGCTATAACGAAGGGGGAACGAGCTAAACACTTCCCGCTGAATACCGAAGCCGCTTCACGCGCGTGCACTTCATCTTATTGAAAGTATCTCCCTCGAATAGAGTTTTGCCCTGCTTCGTAATACCGAGGGGTATCACTTTCCTCTCGCTTGCTTCCGGACAATGTGCTCCTCACAATGGGGGAACCGCCGGCGTTTTGTGCTCTTCTCCCCATCAACTTGCGCGAGCTTACGCTATCACCGGAGATGGTCCTCCACTCGTATCCCAAAAACCAATCGATTTGTTAATCCTTTCAACGGCGACTCCTCATTTGTTAGGCTTAAAAC